GGTGAAAAGTTACTTGTGAGTTAGTTTTGTCTCATTTCAAGTATACCAAGACATTTGCACGAGAAACTAGACCAAAAATGCTTCTATGTTTTTGCGGTGTGTATGCTTTGCTTCCTCGTTACTTCACTTCCACACCTAGAAAGGCGAGCACAGTGCATGAACAGTGTTGTGTAGAAGTAGTAGTTGTCATAGTAGTACTAGTTGACATCACCTTTGATGTTTACAATTACCGACCTTAGAAGAAAAAGTCTTTTAAAGAGATAAAAATAAAAGCGATCCCAAATTTTTCCCATCCAGTCTGTTTCTCCAGGTTAATAAAAAGTTTTGCAGGTGGAGGTCAGGGTGTCGTTGAATCATGACCCCACCAGCACCTCCATGATGTGGTCCAGTTCTGTCAGATCAATTTTAAAAGGCTGATTGGCTGAAACCTGGGGGGCGGAGCCGCTGTACGGCGACGTCAGAGTTTTGAGGAGGTCGTCGGCGTTCACCACTGGCGAAAGCTTGGCGTGACCGCCACCGCCAGCTGTGGCGCCTACGGCCCCTGCTGTGGTGCAAGGGTCAAAGTCGTACATGGACGTGTCAATATCGGCGAACAGGACGTCGTCCAGCGCCAAGTCTGAGAGGAAACCCGAAGAAGAAGGGGACGAAGGCGAGGGGGAAATGTCTTCCAGGCTAGCAGGGGAATGTGCGGGCAGGAAAACAGCAGCTGCCTCTGGCTTAGCACCCATTGTCCTGCAGTCTCTGGTGGAGCCTGTGGGTGATGAGAAAGGGGATGGAGTGGGGGAGGTAGTTATGGTCATAGTATTAGCGGCTGCCGTCCGTGTAATGGCGGTGGGAGGAGCCAACTCCATGTCACTCGGAGGGGATGAGAAACTGTCGTTTGATAGGACAGTCACACTAGAGGACAACTTGCTCATTAGCGCTGATGATGGAGCCAGTGGGGGCGGAGACAGAGGAGGAGTGGGTGGGGACGGCGCGCAGAACGCCGAATCCCCACCGTCCTCTTCCAGTAGTGAGGCCGGAGTGAGGCAGGCGTCCAGGGGCGTGGCGCAGCCTTCCAAGCGCTGGGGCGCCGGGCAGCTGGGAAGCACCATCGGGTGGGGCGAAGGTGGTGGAGGAATCGCCGGCATCAACAGTGCAGATGGTTGGGACAGGATGCCGAAAGATGGCGGCGCCTCGCGGAACCCCTCGTCCATGGGGTCATCAGGCGGCGGCGAGGGCGGCAGAAACAGTGGCCGCAGGGAGCCCTCCTGCTTGAGCTCATCCTGGATGCGGCGGAGCATGTTGTTGATGAGGACGCGGCGCTCCAAGCTGGGCTCGCCAAGCGGCCGCTGGCTGTAGAGCTTCATCAGGGAGATGTTGAAGATGGTCTGTCTCTGAAGGGTGTAGGACACCTTGGAAAGACCCTCCAAGGCAACGCCTACCCCCGCTCCCGCCACCGACGCCTCCAGCGCTTTGCCTTCCAGGCCCTCTTCATCCTCTTCCAACTTCCGCTTTGCACCTTTACAGAACATATATCTAGACAACACAAAACAAAAGGAGAGGAAACAAGTTAATCAAGTGCTCAGATAAGAAATCATTAAGACACAAATCAAGTCTGAAGTCTAGTGTTGCTCCTTCGCATTCAGTGACTTATAGCTCAGAACCTAAATAAAGTCACTCCAGACTTTATGGAAATCTGTTAGACCTTATGGTGGATGATTTACAGTGTGTCCATTTATCTTTTTGGACAAAATCATTCTTGGATAATAAGATTTTAGTCTCATCAGTTCTGTCTAAAAGCTGTTTTAGGACTACTTATCACTTATCACAATTGGATCCACAATTACTTGATCAGTACATCTGAATGGTGCCATTGTATCCCCTCCTTTAGTGCCGCCCTGGGCAACTGCCCACATCAAAAAACTGCCTCTTTTGAGGCTTGACGTGAAATCGCATCAGGATACCAAAATCACTTCATTCGTACAGGAACCAAAGTCTTCTTTGGGACAGTAAGAAGCTGCAAACAGAAAATGAGCATATTGCATTTGGAGATAAAAATAAATAAATAAATAAAAATACAGAAAGTGAGCAGCTGCAGAGGAAACCTTCACACACTAAGTTACGCAATAGCAGTGCTCCCTACTCAGCACAGGATCATAGGCCAGATTTAAAGCCCAACCTTTGGCCACTCCTCTTTTTATGATATTAGAGGAAGAACTTGCTGGTTGTGGCGGTGAGCAGGGTACAAAAGGAGCAATAATTTGGGTGATTTTTATAAAACTATTCAGAAAACAAAGAAGAAGAAAATGGAAAAGAAAGAAAGGAGCTACTGCAGTGTGTTTGACTTTAATCCAGGCCGACATGCAGCCAGTCGCCGCCTGAATAAAGGCGCATGCGTCTTCTCTCAAACACACATACTCACACACACGCACACACACACACACACACACACACACACACACACAGGAAGTGTAAGCTGCAGGCCCAGTCACCATGACCTGTTGGTTGCCATGACAAACCGAGTCAGCTGGGAATTCACCCAAAGAAACGAATGGGACGCGGTGGAGGTAGGAAGAAGAGTACAGGAGGAAGATGAGGAAGACAAGCGAGAAGCGGAAGCAGAGGAGTAGGAAAGGTAATGAAGAATCCATCCAGAGATGCAGATAAACCCACAATCGCATCTACGACTAGGCCATGGGTGTTCAAAGTGGAGTTCGGGGACCATTTGCAGAACCTGTCCTGATTTCTTGCGGACCCCAACCACAATTCAAGAATAATTTTCTACAAAACTACGACTATTGAATCAAAATCTACTTACAAAAGTGTTAGAGGCAGCAAAAAGAGATAATCATTTCCAAACCTTCTAGTTTCCATCTAAATTAGACCACATTTACTCACAACTTGTACTCTAAAATACACCTTTGTGCACCCAAATATGCTTTTAATTGCTGTATTAAAACTAGGCTAAATACATTGACCAAGATCCTGTTTTTATTGCTGAAAATAGTTTTTCAGCTTTCTTACTTTATTGCCTAAAATGCAATAACATAACATTCCTTTGGGCTAAGGTTGATCATTTGTAGCAAAGGATGCATCTGTAGGTAAATAAATACGTCTAAAAACATGTGGAAAGTTCAGTCCTTCCTGTAAGACTCAACATTAATACAGTATAGTGCTGATCCGGTGTCTATTTTTTGGTTAATTGATTAATAATTGGATAAAAAAAAAGGATATTTTTGTGTTTGTTTTACAAAATTTTAACCAGGTGAAATTAAAACAATGACAATTGAGGAGTTCTAGGTAGAACATATCTACAGACGAAAGTTTTTTAACGATGCAAAATGCTGATATTTTTGTACAGATTTGACTTAATTAGTCCTCAGTGTGGTGTTCTTTCAGCAAATGGCCTTTTGAAGAGTGTGTATATAGCTTACAATTGATTGCTTACTATATTATAGTTGACCATTATTTCAGTTATTGATTAATATGGTATACAATATAACTGCAAATGACGGGTTCTAACCGGTTTTCTGTTGAAAACTGTAGCGGAACAGCCTGGAATCACCATAGCAACCAGTGACTCAGCAATATTTCAGCCTCTGCTTCTTGCATTACTCGGCAGATTTTTATTTGGTAAATAAATAATCCAGTATCTAATAAACTGGGAATTATTCACACACTCAAACGTGTAGTTTGAAGAAAGTATTCACACCTGCATCACACCAAGCGGTATCAGGTTGCTACGGTTACCGAGTAAGACCTCCAACTTCTCCACATCTTCCCAATAATTTACATGGTGAATAAAGATGCATTAGAGGAAATGAAAGAGAGTTTCTGGCAGCTGGATAACTTCTGGCATTAACGCGTTCTCACGTCGGCACTCCTTCATTGCAGCAGTGACTGCTGCTGCTGCTTCAGGAAAATGGAGATTCAGAGGCGCGAGGAATCAAAAAAACAGCATTTCAAAGCAGAACGCTGCTGCTGTGTGACTGAGAGGCGAAGCAGCTGCGCATGTGTGACTCACCGAGCCGCGGCAGGCTGTTTGGGCTCTCTCACACACAAGACGCACACATACCAGAGGTGCCCCACCCGTCACATTCCTCTTCATTATCCTCCTCTCGCCTCTGACTATCCGCTCCTTCCACACTATTCCACCCGTCTTTAACATCCTGCAGCTTTAATTCCTCCAATTTCTCTACAGTAACTTTGTTTAAAAAAAGAAAAACGGATCGTAAAAGAGTCAAAGTGATAAAGCACAGCAGCGTAGCGGGGTCACTGACTGAAAATCCTATCGAGTCACAGATAAACTATGGTGCCAAAACTTTCTGAAAGAGTTTCCTTTAGAGAAATTCAGTGAAATAAAAAAGTCCTGATGCTACGTTTGTTTTCAAACTTGTTGGCAGAAGCTTATATTACAATTAGAGACGCACCAATCTAGCTTTAACCGGCTCATACCGATTTCTGGCATGATTAAGAGCAACTGCTTGAAAGCTACAAGGTGCCGATGATAAAATAATTTCCCGTTTTTTTGTTTTCCAGCAGATGTTTAGTTAAAAATATGCTAATTTAAAAATATATATATTAAAATGTCATTTTTGAGCATTTATTTTACATTTATTAACTATGATTAAGCCTGTAGCAAAAAGCAATTATGCAGTTAATCACAACATCAATTAAAATGAGCTTAATTTCCATTTGGATGGTTACTATTTTTTGCAGATTAATTTTGTTTGTAGAAATATAATCCATTTTATTTATTGTCTTGGTTGTACGTGGGGCTCTCTCTACTTGTTTTTGTTGTTTTATTTTGGATATTAAAATGTCTTCCATTGATCTTTGAGAGCACAAACTTGCTTTATTATATCAATATATTATTTGAAAATGGTCTAAAAACCACAACATTGTCATTTATCATAATATTATTTACCCTCCAGCAAAATTTGTTATGACATTTGTTATGCTATTATTTTTACTACTTTTGTAAAGCTAATATCTTTGTAAACCCATTTAAAAATAATTAAACTAAATGAGTAAAGATCTTTTAAAATATTTCCAATACTGTGGTTCAAATTTATTTTGATCTGAATGGTCTGTTATATAGGCATTGGTAATATGATTAATATAAAAAAAAGGCGAGTGAATGAGAACTGTGAGAATTACAAAAAATCAGAATTTTTTCTTCAATGCTACGTAAACATTAGCTTCTAAAACAAGAGGAAACTGATGCGTCTGTATGTACAGAAATCATCCTTTAATCTGTTTTTTTAATCAGACAACCCTTATCAAACCAAAATTACCTTCCTCTCGTAGATATGGTTTATTGGAATCAGAATATCACATTTCCTTACAGTGGACTATCACAGAAAATGACTTTACATGAGTACAAAACAGAAAAGTCCAAAATAGTTTGAGAAAGCCAAATAATTAAAAGGTACAAAATGACAAAATTATCTGAAATTAAATAAAGCATCACTTGTAAAGCAATGTCTATTATTTTAGCAGCTATAATAATAATTGTTGCATGTTGTGTTTGTACAACATGCATACATATATTCTTTATATGCTTTTTGGCATTTTGCAAATAGAAATAATTTTGATAATTTTAGCTGACCTAAAACTTTAAAAGTTTAGTTTCATTTAACTTCAGACAGCAAGAAAAAAAATTGTGTGTTTTTTATTGGAAAATATCTGGATTCAACTGTAAATAACGTCTTCCAATATTTGTTTTGTTTACATCAGTAAATAAAAGCAGATGTTTTGCTTTAAATGTGAGTTTTGTTTTACCTAAAAGGTTACGATATCAAAATCTCAACCTTGTCTAGAAAAAACAAAAAAAATTCAAGTCTTGGCCGTCTCCGTTTTCTCTTCCTTTAGCTGAACAAGGGTTAACTCTAGTTAACAACAAATCCATGTAACTATCCAAGGATCGCTCCAAAGAGGAGGTAAAGTCAGGTGTGTGCATGCATGGTGGGTGCTGGATGCCAAACATTGAACATGCGGTCTGATGATATTATTCCTGGAGCCGGCTGCGTGTGCGTAGTGCAGTAGTGGAACAGTAGTGGACGGCCTCTGCAGTGATATTATGATCCTGTAACCGGATATGCTGGTTTCCATGCCTGAGCTGCACATCCACCCCTCCCCCTCACCTCCCTCCACGTTGGGCTATTTCAGGTTCTGTGGATGCACAAAGTACTAACACACACATACACACACACCGCTACACTGCTGCAGGTAGATGAAAGTGGCTTCCTCCTGAGTGCATCCATCTCTGCATTTGCACATGCATCCCAGACGAACGGCCGCAGTCATGACTGCGTTTTTCGCTGCGATGCGCCCGACTCTGCATGAGGACGAAACTCTCCAGCTCACCCCTGTGAAAATTCACCTACCGCCAAGGTTATTACAGCTAACTGAAGCTAACGAAATAATGAAAACTGAAACTGAGAAAACATTTCCATCAACTGAAATACATAAAGAAAACCAATTATAGCATTCGTTATAAAACTAACTGAAACATATTGAAATTATAAACATAA